GGAAAGGGTGTGATTTCAGAGTGTTCGGAGAAATAGTGCCCAGCTTTATTTTCCCGAACGTTCGGAGAAATAGTGCCGGCCTTTTTCTTATGGGGTGCGCCAACATAATCCGGATTTTTCCAAAGCGACTGGATTGGCGCAAGCAGGGTACAGGTCGTACACAGAATTCTACGAATTGAATTCTGTGAAGCCCAAGGAGATTAAAAGTAAGTTTAGTTCTAAACTCCTTGGTGAAGCCGTATCTTCCTGTTCTTTTGCGGAGACTTGTGCTCTTGCCACAGATATGCGCATTTCCGTCGCTCTTTGAGCATTCCTGCGCAGGTTGTTACTAAAAACAATATGGCGGACGGTGGTATCCAACCACAGTAAACAACCTTTAGCTTTCTGGAAAACATGAGAAAGAGAGGAATGACGTTGAGATTCATCAGTTGCATTTGATTCCTGCTGCTGATATGGATAGTCGTCTCCTTGCTGGGGCGTATTCGTATCCTTTGCTATCTTTATTTACATGTAAAACGAGTTGAAAAGGCGACAACTTTACTTCTAGAATCTAGATTAGATCTAGAAATCTAGAATATAGATCTATATCTAGATCTAATATAGATCTAGATCTAGTCTAGATCTAGATCTAGACTAGATCTAGATCTAGATTCTAGATCTATATTTGATCTAGATAATCTAAATCTAGATCTAGATAATCTAAATCTAGATCTAGATAATCTAAGTCTAGATCTAGATAATCTAAATCTAGATCTAGATTCTAGATTCTAGATCTAAATCTAAGACTAAGGATGGATTGTACTTTACCGGACCACTTGTTTACACCCATGATTACTACGCGCGCCTTATCAAACCACGCACTCAGAGTTGTCTACGTCACGTGCGGAAAAGTAGTTCCACAGGACATTTCCCGTTGTGCGCCAGCGGCGAGGCGGGTAAGCGAGCGAGTGTTGCTTGTGGAGGGGGGTTTACATATTATTATAGTCTTATCAAGAGAGTGGGGAGAGGGGGGTTTCAGGGGGTTTGCCCCCCTGGCATAAATCCACACTAACATGAGCGCGCGTGCAGGGCCCATTGAGCTTTTTATGCAAATGAGCGCTCGAGCGCATCTCTCGCCAGCTGCGAGGCGAGGTGAGCGAGAGGTGGTGATTGTGAGGGAAGCACTTGTACCTTCAAAGAACGAACTCGTCCAGGTCCATAAGATCGGCGAGCTCCTGATCCGTAATCTCGGCGCGCGGCTCCGATTCAGTTTGTGTAATCACGGCAGGGGTAGGGCTAATGAAGAGAGAAGCTGCCTGTGAAATTTCAGCCAAGACCGACCGCATCTGGGGATCCCTTGTAGTCTCCTCGTCAACTACAACTGTTGGTGTTACGATGACAGAGAGGGGTGGTGGTACGAGGACTGGGGGGGTTAATGGTACGACGGCAGGGGGCTCGGTTTCGGTAGCCTGGAGCTGGTTTTCTTGGTCGGCAGGGGGCGGGGGGCGCGCACACTTTAATTTTTTTGCGGTTGTAGCCATTGAGGTTGACGACTGGCCCGGCCGTTTCAATTGTAGTTTGCAGTTTGCCGCCCACTTCTGACGTAGCACAGTGACTGCCTTTTCTTTGGTAAAGACCTCACTAATTGAGGAGGTAAATGTTCTGAAAGGAGCCTGGTCCTGGCAAAACTTCCTACGAAAGATAAACTCGGCGGAATAACTAGCTATGAGAGTTTTGACGAAGGTGCCCTTAACTCATTCGCTACGTATTATTTAGGCTTGTGGACGAATTTTTTTCGGGAGGGCGAAATGAGATGATGACTAGTGCGCAGTTCACAGGTC